CGATGTTCTTGGAGATCTATTTGATGTAACTCTTTTTTGTGGTCTGTTGGTTGGGATCTGATGAATTGTGAGTTTATGATCAGATCTATCCATACATGATTATTATAACCTCGTATACCTTCTTCGATGTTTCGGTTTTGTTTGGCCAACTTGATTGATTTATCTTGCAATGGGAAGAGGTGATTTGTAATGGGTTCGATCTTGCAGTGCTCAATCTCAGTGACAGAAAGAGACATGACACGCATGTATCATTGCTATTAAGGATAACAACATGGGGTCTATTCCTACATGAACAGATCTTTTCTACATCATGTCATCGTTCTTAAAGCATTACTCCATTTCTCCATGAACTTAATACAATAGATGCATGTTGGATAGCGGTCAATGTGTTGATTAATAGTAGTAGATGCAGGCAGGAGTCAGTCTACTAATCTTGGATGTGATGCCTATATACATGATCACTGTCCTGGATATCGTCATAATTATTTGCTCTTCTATCAATTGCCCAACAGTAATTTGTTTACCCACCGTATGCTATTTTCTTAAGAGAAGCCACTACTGAAATCTACGACCCCGGGGTCTATTTCCTATCATATATTTTCAGATATGTTTTGCCAAAAATCGACGAAAACTTTGCTGTGTTTTATTTGCTTCTATATTATTTGCATCTATCAATCTATCTATTTATCTTACCTTGAATGGATTGACAACCCCTCAACGGGTTGGGTTGCGAAGTTTTGTTGTTTGTGTGTAGGTGTTGTTTACATAGTGTTGCTTGGTTCTCCTACTGGATTGATAACCTTGGTTTCATAACTGAGGGAAATACTTACTTCTGCTTTGTTGCATCATCCCCTCCTCTTTGGGGAATTTACCAATGCGGATCACAAGTAACATCCTCCAAGGAGAAAAACGGCTCCCGAAGGCGTCACAATCATCTATGTCGGCAAGGCCGGCACAAGACTTTGACGTAAAGCATCACATATCAGACATCCCCACATATCTTGGCCGCTGACCATCACAGATTGTAAACGCATCCCTTGATATATGTAATTCAATCCCTGACTTCTTATCTAAGCTTTGATTAGCCCCCTAAGCCGATCTAATTGACCCTGCGATATATTACAAAGCTTCTATTACCCTTTTGGGATGACCGCCGCTCGAGCTGGCAGGCGCATTCTATTGGTGGCAAGCGCATTCTATTGGTGGCCGCCGGTCTTTTGAGGCAGCGGAACTGTGTTTTGGCAGGTGTATGGGATTTGCAAGGGGGGCTAGGGCGCATGAGCTCGAGGAGGAAGATGCGCGAGGAAGGTGGAATGGGATCATAAAGGCCTCCTCACCGCTTTTCTTTGCTTTGCTTTGTTGGACAAATATGAGCCAGACCAGATCACACCCCCATGGCACCCCCGGCAACCACACGGGGGGAACTAGCTCGACTCGAGTAATAGTGCGTGCATATAGTTGGATATTCAATGTCAACATCTTATTTTCTATTTTTTCACGCTGCTTTGCTACGATACACATAAGCAGTAACAAGGAACAAAACAAGGAGAAGCAGATAACAAGTTATGACAAGCAGTCAACACCACTAGGTAGACCCACAAGAGTGCAAGGATATCCAACACCAAGTAAATGAAGAACTAGGAGAGTCACAACCACCGTCCAAGGGCTCCCCACTACCTGGACACAGTGCAACAGAGAGAGGCGCGGACCGTGTCGGAGAGCAATGTTTCGCCGAGACAGTCGTGCACCTCCTCTGGGCTAGGCCACCTCACGTCCGCCGTCACAGTAGACAGAACCAATACACTATGTGAGACAAAAAGAAAACTCAAGGCTCGTCGATGGGCACCCAATTTTTTGACCACCCATCAACCACTTGATCACCAATGTGGAGGACAGCACTAACGTCCTCGAGAGGAACATGGAGTACCCCGACAAGGAGATGAGCAAGTCGGTAAATTAGTTGCCCGCCAGCCACAACACCTCTCCGTCTACAACAGGCCACCTCGGTCCATTCATGCTACATGGTAGGCACACTAGATACGAGTCAGGAGGAAAGCGGCGAGATAGTAATAAGTGATCAGGAGATCAAAATGCTTGACCAGGCGGTCTTGGACTATCTTGATCATTATGCAGTCCAGCTAAAAATTCTAGTAGTCGTAAACACAGTTTCTAAAGGAAAGGGACACTTGGAGCGAAGGGCATCCGAGCTAGAAGAGGCCGAGGGGCTGTTGCGAACTCGCCATTCGATTGGAAAGAGCATTCGGGCAAGGACAAAGCCGGCCTATCGAGGAAAAGAAGAAAGATGAGCAAAGCAATCGAGATTCCACAGTTACATGCTCGGAGTCCTATCACACGCCGGCAGAGAATATGCATGCAGCAGCAGGGGCCCTGGTTAGGATCAACTTCCCAGATGGACATGCAGACAAGAATCGATGGGAGAACGGGTCACAACTCACAAGGAGGGAGGCAGCTTGCCACCGTGAACCTCTGCTCCCCGCTTCATCCGCATATATAGTAGTTATGTCATAGTATCCGAACATGCAAATGTTGAATGGTGCACTTGACCCAACATCTCGGAGAAAATTGAGACACGATGGAATGCAGAGATGTCGTGGGAGGCAATGACAGCTTGTGTGATGATGCACAAGATGATTGTGGAGGATAAGGGTGACGGAATGCGCCACGATCTGTAATTTTACTTATTTTATTTTATTCTAAATTTTTTGTCTGGTATTTGGGAAAACCAGTGATCCTATGCAAGGACATTGTTCAGCAGAATCATGCGTCGTCCAAGGAAATTATCCAAATGTATGCATCAACAGACTCGTCATGGAGCAACTCATGAGGATGATGTGGTTCAACATTTGTAGGCGATTCGATTAGAATAAGTAGAATTCAACAAACTCGACATAGAATGGAATGGAAGAGGAAGGAAGAAAACAAGCTATGCGTGTGTTTGGCGGTAAAAAGGATTCAAGTTAAAGCATGGCCGGCCTCTTGGTAAATACTTATATTAATGTCAAAAACGCTCTTATATTATGGGACGGAGGGAGTATTAATGTAGACAGTAGTAGAAAAAAGAGACTGTGAATGACAGAAGGTGTTGTGTTGGTCCCCTCCCCCCTCCCCTCCTTTCATTTTCACTGCAGCATGCATGCATAGTACTACTACGGTAGAGACAGTGGTAGTGGAGGAGCCTGCTAATTTATTTGCCTGCCCAAGCCTTTCCGTGCACGGCACAGACGGATAGGATCAATTGCGTTGCGTTGCGTTGTGTTTGCGTGTGTACTGTGTACCAGTGTACGGGAAGGTGAATTGATGAGCCCTCTGACTTTTCTTCGTTTCCTTTCCGTGGAACAGAACAAAGAGCAGAGCAGCTGCTCCGCCTTCACTTTCTCCAATCTCATTTTCATCTCATTTCATCCCATCCACGCCAACGGACGGACGGACCCATCTCTTCCCCAATTTCGTCGTCGCCGTCGTCTTCTTCTTCTTATTTCTTCTTCTTTCCGTGTCCGTCCACCATTGCTGCTTATTTCTTTCTTTATTTGTTTCTTGTCATCAATCTACCTATCCTATCTATTATCTTCTTCTTCTTCTTCTTCTTCTTAACACTGATTGACAATGTGGCTTGGGATCTCCAACTCCAAGCAAGCACAAGGACAAGGAGCACTGGTCGTCATGCTTGGCCTCTTCACCATATCCATATCCATGTCGATGCTGCCTCTGGCCGCACCCACCATCCACCACGGTACGGTACAGTACATACATATTCTTCCCGATTGATGCATCTTCTCCTCCTCCTCTCTCTCTTCTTGTTATGTGCCGTGCATGCTGTGCTTGGCTCATTTATTCTATTCTATCCTTTGGGAGGGATGTGTAGAAGGAGGCGCTCAAGGCGGAGGGGGGAGACCAAACCCAGCCAACGCGCTGGTAGCGCTGGTGAACGCCGACCGGGCAGCCGCCAAGCTACCCGCCCTCCGCACCACCAGGGGCCTCGGCTGCATGGCGCTACAGTGCATCGCCCGCTGCCTCGCCCTCTCCCCCGCCACCGCCTGCGCCGCCGACGGCACGCTGGCGCCGCCCTGCCACCCGCCGGAGACCGACATCACCGAGGTCTACGCCGCCAACTGCGGGGTCGAGCTGCCCACGGTGGACGTCGTCTCCGGCCGCATCCTCGGCTGCAGCAGCCAAAGCTCCGACGGCGTCAGCGGGGACGCGCTCCACATGGCCAACGCCACCGTGATCCGCGGCAGGGAGCACGCGCAGGTGGGCGCCGGCGTCGACCGCGGCGGCTTCTGGTGCCTCCTCTTCAGCAGCGGCAGCCCCAACTCCAGCTTCCGGCTGGAGGCCGCCGGCAGGGGCATCGCCCAGCAGCACGGCTGCTTCAGCGACCCCGACGTCACCCTCTCCTGCACCACCTCCGCCGCCCACCACCAAACCAGACGACTCACCGCCGGAGACACATCCTTTGCCTTGGCTGCTTCCACTCTGCTTTTCCTCCTCCAGTCTAGTCTAGTCTAGTCTAGTAATGAATAAACTGTCTGTACCAACTGAATTGTTAAGCTAGCAGAGACACCCCAGAAGATACTAGTATTACTCGGACTTGTAATTTTGCTATTCAAACAGTCTGTCAGTCAGTGATGAGTGTGATCATTTTTCAAAACATTTGGGATTCGCCTAAATTTGCCACTGCAAATCCAAAATGCAAAGCACAAACTAACAAATAAGCAGCTAGTAGTATATTTCAGTAAGTACTAGGATTGGATTGAGCAGTCCATATATATAGCACAGTACAAACCAAGTTCATCATGAGCTGCTGCTGCAACTTAGTAAAAATTATGTCAATCCTACATATCTTCCTTATCAAGCCAAACTAAATTATACAACAACAACAACAAGGAGAGGCGAGGCGAGGCAATTATGATCCCTTTGATCGAAGCAAGACACTGCAAAACAAAGGGCTGCTGCTCAGCTCACTCTACCATTTTGAGCTAGTTTTACAAGATGCTGCATCCTTTCTGCAACTTCCTCTTCTTCCGCTTCTGCTTCGGAGGCTGGAGAACCACCTTGATCGCCGCATCAAACACCGCCTTGATATTCTGCACCAAGCAACCAAATCACTAACCCAACACTGCTACTAGCCTTTTTCTTCACTACCAGGAGATGCACTCATTGTACCTGCTGTGTTTTTGAGCTGCACTCGATGTAGGCCGTCGCGCCAATTACCTTCTTCAGCTCTTCACCCTACAATCGTTAGCCACAGAGATGAGATCACTATCTTATGCAAGGAAGCAACGGAACATACGCATATGCTATTTATCTTCTCAAGGAAAAAAACAGATAAAGCTTCCGAGTACCTGAGCTGTGGAAATAGGAACAGCCCCAGGGTGATCCACGAAAAACTGCTCGTCATCCCGCAGATCTATTAACATCAACATAGTTGCTGAGTTATACAACATTTCTTACAGCAACAAGTAGCAAGAAAGCAGCAATAGGCCGAAACATGCGGAATAATGTCACATCTTATTAGACGTCATTTCTTACAGTCAACTGTAATTGGGCATCAGGTACAAAGCAATGCAACTCAATCTCAAGTGGCTACAACAGCACTGTGTTCCACATGTTCTCAAATTGACTAAACCGTCGTGAATTTGAAAAGAACGTGTGCAGAGCTCTAAGAGGTAATAACATCAAGAATTTCTGTCATACTGAAAAATGAATAAAATCAGGTAAAGAAAACAGACCTCGGTATATATTGGATTTGAGCCAAAGAATATGGACTACAACCAGATAGAAACTAATCTTAGGTTCAAACTGATGTCTAGTCACTGGCATAACAAAGGAAATAGCATTCTGGTCTCTGCAACATTCATTAATTTGGTACACGAGTATCATCACACCTTTATCAGAGATAAACCGAATATCATCACAACAAGTCTTAATTTCACAACGGGGAATTCAACATTAATTATAAGGATCTCAAGTTTTCGAATTAACACAAGTATCTCCTGCAATACTAAAAGACACGAGTCTGCCATTTTCTTGTTTAAGGACCAACAAAATTTCTCAGCTAAACCATGAGCTGGTTCTTAGTAGAAGAAAAAACTACTTGCTTGAAGGGATATATGCCATATTCCTGTATTAGAAAGTATTGGGCAGCAGGCATGCCTCCATAAAATTCAAATAGCTTGCTTGCTTTCCGTTCAACCAAGCCAGCAGCATTTCAACATGCAAAGATGGGTAAAGATGATATTGAAATATCATAAGACCGCGACCATCATCAGTGACAGTACAAGTGAACTCATGACAACAAAGATGCCTATACTTAGACAGGGATTTCAGACTACTTAAAGCAGAAGCAATGCAATAGGACATAAAAGGGCATGCCAAGCATAGTTCCGGCAAGAATTACATAGAAATGTGATACTTTGCAGAAGCATAACAGAGATAGGAGACGAATGGGGGCATATACCAAGCTTTGTCCCAACAAGAATTATGGGCACACCCGGAGCGTAGTGCCGTAGCTCAGGGATCCACTGAAAAATTACAAGCACATGTCATATCTCATAAGCAAGATAACAAACAATTTATGAAACTAGAACAAGTCATCGAGAGTGGGAGCAAGGAAACAGAGAGGATCAAAGGAGGATGGGTTGCCTTCTTAGTGACATTCTCGTAGCTTGCTTTGCTGATAAGAGAAAAGGCGAGCAGGAAGACATCGGCACCTCGGTAGCTTAGTGGGCGTAGTCTATTATAGTCCTCTTGTCCTGTTAAATTCATCGCATTTTTTCCCATTAATTATTCTGGTGGCTGTGATTTATTGAACACACACACACACACACACAGAGACTAGAAGATGGAAACGAGGATGTTGATATTAGCATGTGTGCACATAACATAAATGGGGGGAAAAGAAAAGCTAACCTGCAGTATCCCATAATCCGAGGTTGACGGTGCTCCCGTCAACCACGACGTTAGCGCTGAAGTTGTCGAAGACTGTTGGGACATAGTCCTGTAATGTAATGGAGGAATGGAGGATAAGGCACGTTTAGTAGTATAAGATGCAAAAGTGTTTGCTTACTGTACATTGGATATGAAAACGCAGTTGCTTCAGATATTCATCATATTGGGTGGCACCAGTCAGATGAAGATGAACGAACGCAGTAAAAAAACATCTAAAAGTCATTTTGTGTGTGTGCTTGCGCCTAGAAACAGGGAGGGAGGGAGGGAGGGGTTAACATTTAAGAGTTTTCATGTGACAGCAATTGATTTGATTGTTGGGTGGAGATAAACTCCTCACTTGGAGTTGGAGGAGACTAGCAGGGACGGATATATAGTAAGTATTTGAAAAGTAGCTAGTAAATTGAGTGAGGCTAGCATTAGCATAGCAGGGTACTCTAGTTGGTTAAGTCAGATTCTCCCTCCCTCCCTCCCTCCTCATCAACCTCCAACACAATCCATGAATCAATCAATCTTCTTTTTCCCTAGTATTTGGAAGGCTTAGCATCGGTTGAACTGAAAACAAAGGAAGTAGTCTTGATTCATCTTGTAAAAGTGGGGAATCCATCCATATGTCTTGTTCCAAGAAGAAGGGGATCTATCTATCTATCTATCTATCCATGTACATGTATGTAGGGTAGAGTAGTTGAAGAAGGGAGGAAGGGAACGGAAGGGAGCAGCTTACGGTGGGGAAGGTGTTGGATGTGTAGGAGATGAGGAGGCAAGTCTTGCCGACGGCGCCGTCCCCCACCGTCACGCACTTGATGAACCGAGAAGCGCTCATCGCCGCCCCCGCCCCCGGCTTGGCCTGCCCTTTCTCGGGATTTCTTTCTTTCTTGAATTCAATTTAATTCACCGCCCCCTCCTGGTCCTGGGTCGATCGATTCCCGCCAGGCCCTCGCTGCGACAGATCGATCCGGGACCAAAGGAAGGGGAGGGGTTCCTCGCCGCGGTGCGGTGCGGTGGTTGCCTTCCGTCGGCTGCGGCTGCTGTTGCGGTGGGGGGAGGAAGAAGCTCAGCTCAGCAGCGACAGACAGCGAGCAGAGCAGAGGAGGATTTGCTGTTAGGTCCCTCCCTTCCCCCACTATCACTACCACTACCACAACCACTCGCTCACTGTTCCAGCCGATGGAGATGGAGATGGAGATGGCTCAATTGTTTGCTTGCTTGTTTGTTTGTCTGGTGTGGGCGTGCGTGATTCCCCCCTCACAAAACGCATCCATCCTATCTTTCTTTCTTTCTTTCTTTACTTTTGGTGTCACTTCTACAACGTCAGCACAAATCCAGGCTCTCTCTTTCATTTGACCCTTAATCTATACTTCTACTTCCTCTGTTCTAAAATAGATGACTCAACTTTATACTAATTTAGTATAAAGTTGAGTCATCTATTTTGGAACGGAGGGAGTATATCTATATCTATATTCATATACCTATACCTAATAATAATAAAGGAGCTGGTAAGCAACTTCATATTTGAAATTATGCAGCTGAGTTATGAGGCTTTATTTAGATAAATAGAGAAAAGAAGTAGATGAAAAGTACAAAATAAAAAAAAGAGCTATTGCTTCTTGCGGTGTGTCATCAAAATTGTCTCTAAAGTTGTCAATAATTACCCACTACGCCACCCATAAGTGGAAAAATGATTCGTTTCACGGCATAGATCATTTTCTTTGGGTTATATATAGTCCTAAAAACTTAAAAGTGCACCAACACTATTTGGTGAGACTGCCGCTTGTTGCGAGCATATAGTGCGGCCCACTAGCGCCAGGTGTTTCCTGGTCGGAGCGAAGCGGGTTCACTCACGCGCTGATATCGTTGCTATGAACTAGCTTCACAACTTTATCCTTATCCTCTTTTCCTCAAGTCCATCAAATCCGGCAAGGAGACAGCATGCCCCGGAGGCCGAGACCAAGCGGCGGACCGGAGGAGCCTGGAGAGCCGGACCAGCAGTGCGCTCTTTCTAGGAGCTGGATCTGAGGTCCCCAGCTGCTGCAGCCCTGGCGGGAAAGGGCCGCCGTGGCGCTCACTCCGGAGGGCCACTCTCTGTCGCGCTCCTCCCAGCGACATGCAAGGCACGAAGCGTACCCCCGGCCGCCTCCTCCTCTTACATACTCCCGGCGACGCCAAAAATCGAGAGTCCGCCGAGGCCACTCTCCATCATGTAATTCTCCAGGAACTAGACTGGCAGGTCCTTCTGATCGACAAAACCGACACTAGTATAAAACAGGGCTTTGGTTCGGGCCTGGCCAGCCCATTAGTCCCCGTTCTTCACGAACCGGGGCCCATGGGGGGCATCAGTCCCGGTTCATGAGCCCGGGGGGCCGGCCGGGGCCTCGTGGGCATTGGTCCCGTTTCGTCTGGATCCATTTGTCTCGGTTCTAGGCACGAACCGGGACCAATGGTCCTCGCTCCTGGCCCACAACCATTGGTCCCAGTTCGTGGCTTGAACCGGGACAGATTACCGGACTTTAGTCCCAGTTTCTACGATGAACCGGGACAAATGAGTTGCCTATATATACCCCATCGCCACAGCAGAGCACTCCATCGTGCTCTGTTTTTTCTGGCCGGAGAGGGGAGGGCATTTGGGTGCTCTAGCTCACCTCTTATGCACATGAGGTGTTCGATGAAATGTCCGAGCCACACTAGTTAATCTTTCTCCTCTCGAAACTCGACCTCCGAGCTCCATTTTCCCCGAGATTTGTCTAGGTTTAGCGGTCCGTCACGGCCCGTCCCCGTCTTCACTGCCGTCGAGCGCCCGCGCCGATCTCGTCGTCGGCACCACCGTGGTGAGCCTCTTGTTCTTATCTTCTTTCTGAAAGAAAAAAATTCTTACTTCAGATAGATACTTGTCTAATTTTCTTACTTTTATTATTGTTATTATATAGTGCGATGGTTTTGGTATCCTCCCCCTTCGGCCCTCTTCAGATATGGTATATATTATCTTTTGATAACTATTTGGTTCATTTATTGTTTATGACAATTATGCCGACCAACGTGACATAGATTTTATTTATCTAGGAGGTTGTTAAACCGGAAATTCCAACCAACCCTATTGTTGAGAGGTTAAATTTAGTTGAAGAAGAAAACAATTACTTGAAGGAAAAAATAAGAAAAATTGAGGAGGAGAAGATGATATTGGAGCTGCATGTTGCGGATGTCATCGATGATCATAAGATCAAGATGGATGCAATGCGGTTGGAGATTAAAAAGATTAGAAAATATGTTATTCATACCGAGGCTTGGTATCATTATGCAGTTGGATCAGTTGTTACCTTGGTTGCGATTATGATCGCATTTGTTGTTGCATTGAAATATTTTACATAACTAGGTCTCTGCCCGTGCGTTGCAACGGGAATAAACGCTCCCATGACAATAAAACCGAAATATCGTGGAAGAAACCACTACCATAGCAGTGTCAACGGGTCGGCAGAAAAACATTAAGTTCTCAGCCATCTTAATTTAGTTACATATATGTTCATTGCCACTTCTTTAAAATATCATATATATCTAAATATAGTCTAAATGTACAAAACAATATTATTTAGTAATCTAAAGCATCTTATATTTTTTTCGTGAGAAACATCTTGTATTTGACTATTTGTTGACAGAGGGAGTAGTAGATTATCATATCAAAATGTCCCTGCATATATGATTATAACAAAATCCAAGATAAATATAATCACAACAACCATTTTTGTGCATAAATAATTCAGTTTCTCTACAATTAGATTACGTGATGCAAATCAAAATCAAAATCTTTAACTTCTCTATTGAGGGTAGAAATAGTAAACAGCATCTCATTGTATACTTCTTAAATCTTTTTCAAGAAATGAGCAAAACTAAATAACAAAATCATATGTATACTTCTCTGTTTCACCATCTCGCTTAAGTATTCCAGAATCATATGTATTTTCCAAGAATACACGTGCACCCGCTCTACAAAATTTATCCTGGACCCTTAGACAGTAAATATATGCATTTATGATCTACAATAGAAAAAATAACAAATAAATTAGAAATTCTGGATGTGTGTAAGTATGACCATCGGAGTATATCTTAGTTGACCTCGCTCTCCATCCATATCTCATCTTCTAAAAGACATTTTAAATCTCAATGTGTCAAGGTTGTGTCATGGATATTCACGAACTTGGTTTTGCTAGGGAAGGATATGATGTATTGCTTCATTTCAGTAAAAGTAATAGTGCAGGCATTTTCTTTTGAAACAACATAGACATAAGTAAAGCTTAATGAATAAAAAAACATGTAGTGGTTGTTTGTATAGGGAGTACATTCAATCCAAGTATGCAAGTCAAGGTATTTTTTTTTCTCGTTGCCGTTTTTTATTGGTATGGACCGAAATGACCAGTTTTCGTAAAATCTCACATTTTTTTCTCCTGAAATGTTCAAACAAAATTTGAATTCAAAATCAAAAACTGTCAAAATATTTTCTATTATGGCAGTGATAAGCTCATCACACGCCCTAGAACAGGCCGTGGGATTCGAATCAACCCATCTTTTTTCTTGCTTTTAGCTATGAAGCGGCCAGTGGGAGAGTCACGAAAAAAATACTGCGTGAGCAAGAGGGATCGATGGCGCTCTATCTCTAGATTGAAGGTAGTGTTTTGGCGCATGCAACGATTACCATGGATAAGCGCATGTAGAAGCTGATCCGCCGGTTGCAAATACGTCAATGCAAGGAGCTCACCTCGGAGGGTGCGACGGACATGGCGAGCGGAGCACGAATGCAGCGGCGGCCGTGGCACAACATCACCCGGAGGACGACCTTGAGGTGTTGTACACCGGTGAGACCGTCCCGACTGTCGTCGGGTCACCGGCGTCCACAACTTCTCTTCCATGAACGTGCACACAAAGGATCCGCCGGAGAGAGAAGAAAGAGATATATGAATCACGTATTCAGAAAATCCAAATCGAGAGCGCATGTGCACGACATCAATGGGAGATTTATTTCCTTCTCTTCCAAATTGAGAGCTTTTGACACGCGGCCTTAACTGCCCCGCAATCTCCGTGATTATCTTCCCTACACACACGTGATTGCTTCTTCTGATTTGTTTACCGATTGGCTAGCACCATTATGGCATGCAAAAATATCGACAGCAAGAAAATCACCAGAGATATTGCTCTCTTTTATCAATCGTATGAGACGGGGTTGGACGAAGAGTTTGACGTAAGAGGGGAGAGGGAACACTATGTTTCTTTTAGGTAGTAGAGATTTCAATGTATGGTTTAATTAGATGTTCTGGAGAGCTATATGTTGTTCAATGAGAACTATGTATGTACTTTGGTTTTAATGTGATGATGAACTTCTATTAATTTGGTCACTTATCTATTCATGAGAGGGTTGAAAATTGATGATGTGGCTTTCAATGGTGCATTTTGATCACAGAAAAACTATGGAGTTCAAATAAGTTCAAAAAAATGAAATCCCTTTGTAACACACGAGTTTCCGTATGAAACCCTGATACTTCAAAGAGATTGTCTGTTTTGTACACGAAGTGCATCCAGTTTTTGCCGTAACCCTCTCTACTTTCTTGCACATGCTATGTGGGTGAAATGATGATACCATGCCAACTTTCAACCTTTTCAGAGTTCATTTCAAATGCTTTTCAATTTCATGGTCTTATAGCTTAAAATAATCAGTAAATGCATAAAAAATAACAACTGAAGTCAGAAAGGGTTGAAAATTGATGATGCGGCTTTGAATGGTGCATTTTGAACACAGAAAAACTATGGAGTTTAAATAAGTTCAAAAAATAAAATTCCTTT